TTAATTATAGTGAATCTACATAATTTTCCCAGTTAAAGTCTTTCTCAGTATAATATACATTATCAAACTAGTTTTACAAATTATATTTTGAAAAGATAAATGTTATTGCTGAGTATTATTCCATTTTACATATGTGCCATAATATGCTTATTATTTCATCTATTGATACATATTAAATTGTTCCCAACTGTGGCTATGATAATTTAATGTTTTCAGTACAGCTTTCATTATCATTTTTATACATGTCTTTTTGTGGATATGTTTTTCAATTTCTCTTCAATAAGTATCTAAGAGTAGAATTTCTGCGTCATATGGCAAGAGTATGTTTAACTTTGTAAGAAATTCCAAATTGCTTTCTAAAGGGACTACACAATCTTTTGTTCCCACTGGCAATGCATGACAGTGAGTTCCTCTCCTCCTTCAAGGATATCTGTTATCACATATCTTTCCATTTTTAACCACTCTTAGATGTATATAATGGTATCCCATCCTGATTCGTGAAACAATTTCGACATATCTCAAAAAGTTTAAACCAAGTGAAATAAACCAGGTACAAAAGAGCATATACTGTATGATTCCAATTATATGCAATTCTAGAATAAAAGTCTTATCTGTAGTGTCAGAAAGTTGATCTATAGTTGCTTGCTGTCACAGAGACAAGGAGTACCTGAAAAGCAACAAAATCAAGGAAATTTTTGTAGATTGTGTAAATATTCTATATTTTTATTATAATAGTTATTTCATTTGTGTATATATATATATACACACATATGCATGAATATTTATTAGAGTTAATTAGACTATATGATGAAAATATGTTCATCTAATTGTAGTGAATTATACATTAATAAAAGTGACATAATGGGGGCTGGGTATAAGGCTCAAGTAGTAGCACACTCGCCTGGCATGCGTGAGGCACTGGGTTCGATCCTAAGCACCACATAAAAATAAAATAAAGATATTGTGTCCACCTAAAGCTAAAAAATATTTTTAAAAAGTGATATAATGGGGCATATACCTACTTTCAATTCTTAGGAATATGAAGCATTTTCAGAACATAAAACAAGGATATAGGCAAAGCATAAAACCAAGCACTTTTCCTTCCAAAGAAGCATGTCTATAAAAACTGTCTGAATGTCATGCATTCTGTCAGACTAAAATCCTTAGAGCTGAGGTGGTCAGTTGGCTCATATTCTGATAGTTTTAGTTTACCAAAATCTGGATATATATTAATGATAATTAAATTAATATATGTAGTTCATAAAAATCAATGGAAAGGGAAAGAGCATCCATCATTCCACCACCTAAAGGCAATTACAGCTCGTATTTTGGAGTATTCTTCCATTTTTAATGCAATTTTTACATGTCTCAGATAATATGGTAAGTGCTATTTTGTAAGTACATTTTCACTCAATATTAAATCATTAGCATTTTCTCAAGTCATTAAACATTCCATAAACATCATTTTAATAACTGCATAATAGCTCATCATGCCTGTACCGTAATTAACTATCACTCTTTTAATGGCATTTACATATTTTTAAAAACAGGAGGCACATTGCCTGGCCCATTGAAAGTTCTCCAAAATTGTTGTTGGATGAATGAATGAATTAATTATAAACAATGTTGTGAAGAACATCTCTGTGCTCCAATTTGAATTTTGTGAGAAACTTGATAAATTCCCAGAACTAGAATGTTTGAGGCAAATGCATAAAAAGAGTTAAAGGCACTTGAATCACCTGTAAGAAACTTTTATATTGGGAGAAAAGACAAAAGTGATAGTATATATGGGCTTTCCAATGTTAACAAAGGCATATTTTAAAATAATTAGATATGTTTTAGATAGTTACCATTCATTTCAACTATTTCTCTTAATAGTGTACCAGTGTAATTAATTAAAAGCAAAACTCACTCTCTTTCTCTCTTTTTATAAAACAACCTCATGGCCAGGTGTGATGATGCATGACTGTAATTCTAGTGACTTGGGATGCAGAGGCAGGAGGATTGCAAATTTGAGGCCAGTCTCAGCAACTTAGCAAGACTCTAAGCTAAGCTCAGGAAGACCCTGTCTCAAAAACTAAAAAAAAAAAAAAAAAAAAAAAGTTGGTGGGGGGGGCAGTGGGGATGTGGCACAGTGATTAAACACCCCTGGGTTCAATCTCCAGTACCAAAACAACAACCACCACCAATCTTATGGTAGTCCTATATCTAAGAGTGTCTTTGTTTTACATTGCACTTTTCCCCTCCATTTTTCTTTTTTCTTTTTTTATTTTATTTTTTTAGGTTCTCTTCTAAATTCAAGACTGTTTCTTGATTTTGGCTTTGAGTGCTGTTTTGATGCTACTTTCTTTCATCTACTTTGGTCTTTTTTAGAAATTTGCTGCTACTTTGACTCTTACTGAGTTACATACCATGAAAACACATAACTCAACTGTTGTGGTGGTGGTAGAGTTTACAAATTTTACTTGATAATCTCTGCTCTATGTGAATCTTCTCTGGTTTATTTTCTCAAATCAGTGTCCATCATGAGCCTGTCATTGCTTTTTGTATCAGTTCCTTTTTTGTATCTATTTTACTAAGTCAAACTTTCTCATTGCCTTATGGGGCAATCATCTGGAGCAATTGAGAACTGGTTCCTTGGTCAGAGAACTGCCGGCTGCTGGCCTCTGCACCCCAGCCCCTTCTGATTCTGATTTTGGCCCTTGATGTGTGGGGAGGGGCTCTTTATTCTGGAGTATTGATGGAGCTAAAAAAAGATTTTCTTACCCTACTGCTGTGAGCATATTGATCCCTTAATTTCTTCATTTAAAGCATTTTCCAATTTTGCTATTTCCAATTCCCTCTTTAATTCAGAGTTTTGGACCAGTTGCTTGACATAAACCTATTGTGATTTACTTTTAAATTATTCTTTCCTGGAATAAAAGTCCCCTTTTAATTACATTTTCAGAATAAAATTATGTCATATACCTTATTTAACTCATGTTCAGGGATTAGGTCCATACCTATATAACCAAAATAACCAAAGTAGTATGTTATAGTATGTTTTAGTTATCATTAAGAATTAAATGCATGCGTTGTATACATAGCTTGACTGGCTTTTGCAAGGATGAGTCTGAAAAATATAAATAAAATGATTGGAACAATTCAAATGATTAAGTGACAGCATCTCATATTTCACATTTCACATATATTATAACTTAGAATGAAACATTTATTCTTTTACTCCTTTTGAATAGTTCAATAACTTTCTATTTTATTGAACTTTAGAAATTTATGCATATTTTGAAGCTTATTAGAATAGAACTTATTCACAGCTTCTTTCTGGGCTATGTATTAAAATAGAGGTAAAAATTTGAATGCTTTTGTAGTTAGTAAGACTCAAATATGTTACAAGGTCATGCTGTTAACATTTGGCAGTGAATAGAGCTTGTAATATCTTGAAACCCAATTCAAAGCTTTTTAGGCTAATCAATAGTGCTACTCAATTATATAGATGAGGTAAGAGATAATACATAAGTGGGTAGACAAAAATTATAGCAAAATTCCCCTGGCAGCTGCCCATTTCCTTGATTCTATTGCTAAGCTCTCCATGAGGGCGTATCAGAACTACTGGCTGAGTGAGGGTCAAGGGTTCTGGGAAAACAGGTGTCGCTCAGACTATTTTACTTGACAGTCTTGAGCACTGAGGTCACTGACCCAGCAGAAGAAAAGTAGACCCAACAACAGTGGCAAGCAGTACATTTGACATTCTTTGCCCTCTTTTTTACATTCATTTTGATTTTGATTCACCCTGAATCTTTTCATTTTTTGACAACATAGAAATGCATGTTGTTTCTGGGCCTTAGCAGGATGCAAGTAAAAAGATACCTGTAGAACTATAAAATTCAAGATAGAATGAAAGCTATTTTAGGCCAAGGTTTGTGTGATTTGATGATAAAGTCTGACTTCTGTCATGAAATAAAAATAAAATGTACTCTATAGATTAATTAGAAATAACAAAAATAATGTTTTGGTTCAATATACTTTGACTTTAATATTCCCACGAGCAGTAAGTGGGCACAATACTTATTTTTCTTTTTGGTTTCTGTTTACCTTACTCTTTTCATTTTCTTATAATGTCTGTTTCTCCACTTTTTCTCTTTCCCCACTCCTCAATCTTTCAAGCTCTGACTCACTTACACAAATATATACACACAAAAAATTATGTTTCCTTCTTCCAATAAGAGAGAAGGCTTAATATAATATTTCAAGAGTATATTTTTATTTCAAGAGTATATCTTAAGGCATGACAGTTGGGCACAGTTTGATATATTCCTTGAAATATAGCTGCAAGTCATCATTCTATTTTGTGCCTAGAACACAAAATTAAAATTTGTGCTTTTAACTGTATTCTTGTGTTTCTCTTAAAGTAACAGTCCTTTATAAAGATGCCATCAGGAAACATTAAGTGACATTAGATAATTTTTAAAAATATCAAAAAAGTGGATATTTCACTATATACTCCTAATATTTTTGTAGCTCACATATTCTGCATACTGTACGAATCTGGAGTATTTATGAAGACAACTGAGTATTAATTTATCAAATATTGACTTTACAACCACTACAGAATATTTCATTGATAGGATGGTACCAGTAATACAGAAAAAAAAATATGAGATTGTATCAAGATGCAAGTGGTAACTAAAAGAAACATCACAATGTACTGTGATAGAATGTTAATGCCCTGAATATGCATTGATATATTTTAGCAATTAAAAGTCTTTTTTGTTTATAGAACAGACACATCTAACTCATGTTTCAGATTCAGACTTGAACATCTAAAGTAAAATTAAAGCCAACAATTTTATTCTGATATTTATGAGGAAATGTTATATGGATCCAATTGTAAACCTGCCTCTTCTTTTTTGGTAAAATGAATTACACCAATTGGTTTCCATAAAGCAGGATTTTCACTTTTATATTTAGTTTTTAAATATTTCATCATTTTATTTTTCTAGGTTCAACTTTGCTACAGAATTAAGAATTTGCAGTTAGGGCAATGCTAAGAACCACATCTGCAATGAAATCAATTATGTGTGCTTGGTAAGTAGGATAGATAATACTTGATAAGTACTTTTATGTGCCATAAACTCTAATGCTCATGTTTTACCTGCCATTTTATTGTAAGCACCACTTAAGATTATTTTCCCTAACTGCTTTGTATTTATCCACAACTAGAAGATTTACTTTTATGAAAATTTTCAATCTATTGCATTCAAAATATTTTTAATTGATCATATTAAAAATGAAAACTCACCTCTTCATTGTTTAACTCAAGTGTTCATTCTATCTTCCTAAAGATAGTAAGAACTTCTCAAACACCTAGGTATTTTTGGACTGTGTACTTGGTGCTTGGTATGTCTTCATTTTCCCTTTAGTATCTTCTGTTTATAATGTTTTCCCCTGTAAAGACTAAATAATATGCATATAAAGGTGGACTGTAATATTAATTTCTTTGGTAATATGACCAGCATATTGTTGCCATCCTTTAATCATTTATAGAAATGCTGACAGATAATATGAAAAGCAATAAGGGTTTATGTGGAGAAATTAACTCAGGAAATCAGAATATAGAAACAAATTACACTTTTCCTGTTCCAATTCTACATAGTTCTTGAAACTCTAGTTAGAGTAATCAGGCAAGAGAAGGAAATTAAAGGGATACAAATAGGAAAAGAAGAGATCAAATTATCTCTGCTTTCAGATGACATGATCCCATATTTAGAACACCTGAAACAGTCCACCAGAAGACTTATAGAGCTGATAAATGAATTCAACAAAGTAACAGAATACAAGATCAACATTCAAAAATCAATTGTTCTCCTATACTTCAATAATGAATCTTTTGAACAAGATAGTTTTCCTAACTATCTCACCTACAATAACTTCAGTAAAAAAAAGATAAAATAAAATAAAATACTTGGGAATCAATCTAACAAAAGAGGTGAAGAACCTCTACAATGGAAACTATAGAACACTAAATAAAAAAGTTGAAGAAGACCTTAGAAGACCACATTCTTGGATAGGCCAAATTAATATTGTCAAAATTGCCATACTACCAAAAGCACTCTACATATTCAAAGCAATCACCACCAAAATGCCAATGACATTCTTTACAGAACTAGAAAAAGCAGTACCGAAATTCATTTGGAATAATAAGAGATCCAGAATAGTCAAAGCAATTCATAAAATAATAAGGCTGGAGGCATCACAATATCAGACCTCAATTATACTTCAGAGCTATAGTCACAAGAACAGCATGGTCTGGCACCAAAATAGGCCAGGGTAACAGAATAGAAGACACAGAGACAAACCCACGTAAATACAGTTGGGACTATACAAAGGTGCCAAAAATGTAAGTTGAAGAAAAGATAGGATTATTAACAAATTGTGCTGGGAAAATCAGAAATCCATATGTGTAGAAGAATGAAATTTGACTCCTATCTCTCACCCTGCACAAAAGTCAACTCAAACTGAGTCAAGGACCTAGGATGAGAACAGAAACCCTGCACCTGCTAGAGGACAATGTGGACCCAATGCTCTAGCATGACATCACAGGAACTAACTTCCTTAACAAGGGCAAGAACTAAAATAAAACATCAGTAAGTGGGATGTCAGCAAATTATATTAAAGCTTCTGTACAGCAAAGAAAACAATGAAAGCATAAAGAGAGACTACAGAATGGGAAAAGATCTTTCCCCCCTGCTCCTCAGATAGGGCACTGATATTCAGAATATACCAAAGAACTCAAAAAGCTCAACACTAAAAAAAAAGGTGAATAAATGGGCAAAACAAACTAAATATACACATCTCAAATGATAAAATACAAATGGTAAAGAACATTTGAAAAAAATATTCAACATCTTGTGCAATTAGGGAAATGTAAATCAAGACTACACAGAGATTTCATCTTACTCCAATCAGAATGGCAGCTGTCAAGAATACAAATAATAATAAATGTTGGCAAGGATATGGAGAAAAAGGTATGCTCATTAGTGGTTCCACTAATTTGATGGGACTGCACACTAGTAGAACTACTCTGGAAAGCAGGATGGAGATTCCTCAAAAAACTTGGAATTCATTCAATAAATGTGTTTGAATAGGTATTATGTTCTACATGATGATCTATTTCTATAATTTCTACCAAATGCTTTATCACATTTCTTCTGATATTAATATTGTACTAATAATATTTTTCAGATAATGAAACAATGGCTGTTTAAAAGAGAAAACTGCTAATATAGAAAAATGTTAAGCGTTGGGGCTATAGCTCAGTTGAAAGTGCCTGCCTAACATATGTAAGGTCCTTAGTTTGATCTCCAGCACGTATTACCAAAAAAAAAAATAGTTTAAATCGCAAAAATAATTATCATATAAGATGAATTATTTAGTAGATTTAGTAGATTGTATTTTTTGTGCATATGTTGTTTTTATTAAATTAAAAATCCTCGGAATGTTGTTATATATTCTGCTTTTCTAAAAGTAATGTTATTTTGTGATTATTTTCCATTGTATTAAAAATTTTAAATATGATTATCAATGACTGTGCTGTTACAACAAGTGTGTGTGCTAAAATTTATCCAGTCTTTCCGCTATAGGTTATGTATAGTTTTGTTTCTTCAGGGGATGTTATAGCCAATTTTTTATTCATAAAATTCGGTTTGCTTTACCATACAATTCTACAAAATAAATATTTTAAAGTGTAATTATAAGTATAGAATTAATATTGAGCAAAATTATTATAATTTAAATATCCACCAGTAGTTCATGGATTATACTTAATTCTTGGTCCTTCCCACTGTACTAGGTATAATATTTTTTAAAAAGTCGATTACTTAAGAAAGTGTGATGCTAATATAATGGATGAAAATAAGGCAAAATAAAATTGAAGAAAATACAGTTTGCCTTAATTTATATTTATTTGATTATAAGTGTGGTTTAGTATTTTTCATGTTTATTTATTTGTCTTCCTTCTCATAATGTCTCTATTGGGGCACAGGTACTAAACATTGTGTATTGATTGGTAAACCCTTATATTAACACCATAAATTTCCTTTTATGCTTGTAACAAAATTCCCCTACTATTATTTATATTTTCTTTCTTTGACTTACTAAATTTTAATTCTACTGAAATCTACATATTTTCCCATCATGGTTTCCTGATTTGCACTTATGCTTGAAGTATTTCCCAATCTAGAAAATTGAAAGGTCATCTGATATGATAGAATAATTTTCCAATTTTTTTTCATCTTCTAACACTTCAGTATTTGTGGAATAACTTGGATTGTGATATGAGGTTCTGACTAACAGCTATCCTTACGAGTGACTTTAGCAGGTGAACTTTATAATTATTTTGTCATATAGATTTAAAGAAATGTGTCAAGTCCAAGAAATGTATCTTTAAGATTTGGATTAGAAATGTATTAACGATCTAAATTTAGGAAAAATTCTTAACTTAAGAAGGCACTGATGTCATTTAAAATTTTACTTTTACATACAAGAAAACTCTGTTTATACAAAGAACAGAAGGAATAGAGTAATACTTCACTAAGTTATTTATTAGGAGATCTCAAGTTTTTATTAAAATTGGTTTTTTGTGTATTATATTTTGTTACTTAAATTCTACTGTATATAGATTTTATAACTAATTATTATAGATATTAGGAGAGAGACTAGAAGACTAGCAAGAGCCTGGATTTTTTTTCAAATGTACCCAGTTTTTGAATCATTCACATATAGGCCAGATAATGATAAATTTTAAGAAGGATACAAAATTATAGTGACATTTGTGCATTATGGTAGCTTATTAATTATAATATGATAAAAATTGTAAGTTATCTTAGAAAAGATTATTTCTAGTTTGAAATTTGTACATATTCACATACAATATGCTAACGATTTAACTCATACCAATATATCATCACAAAACTTGTACATACTTACAAGGGCAGTGAAAAACAAGTTCATCAATACTTATTGCAATAGCAATATTACAATTATTGTTAACAACAAAAACTACAAATGTATTTTAAATATCCATCAGTAGAAAATAGTTAAATAATGGCAAGAAATCTACTATAATATTATGGTGCAATAATATAATTCAGTGGAAAGTAATGAATTATAGATATGCACATTTTGAATGACCTTCACAAAAATGATATTAAGTGAAAATATCATGTTATAGGGAAGTGCATGTGGTATTATTCCTGCTAAAAATGTTTGAATCCATGCCAAATTGGACAATATATATTACACTTATGAACAAACATTGTAAAACTATTTAGTCATAGAATAATAAATTCAAAATCTAGAAAACTGGTTGCTTCTGAGTTGGAAGACAGGTTTTGCACATGTGTATTAATACAAGGGGCTTCAAATGTTGTGGAAATGTTTATTACTCTAGCTTAGTTATGAGTTTATGGTTATTTATATTTTTAGTTATGAAATATTTTTTTAAAAATTAAGAATTAGGTGTGGGGAGTCCCAAAAGATTGTTCTACAACTGAATGTTATTCAAATCCAAAAAAGGTAATTCCACTGTGATTAAGATTATTAGAAAATATAAAACAATAATAAAAATCTATTCAAAACTTGAAGTATAAATTACATAACTATGAACCCAACTCACTTATTAGTCTTGAATTAATATGGTAAAATATAATTCTTTAACTATTATTAATATAGTGAAATTCCAATTAGAATCCAAAAGCAACTATTGTAACGACTGGAAAAATGATCTTAAAGTATTCATGCAAGATTAAATAAGAAACATGAATAAAAGTAATTAATAAATTGGATTTCTATAATAAAATATGTACAAAAATTAACTCCAGAGTCAGTACAACTCTCTTGGATATTACATATACAATTAATGGCCCTCCTCAGCAATATTGAGATCCAATTGCCAGAAAAGAGCAAATAGGCATGTTTCATAATATAGAAATGGAAACTTTGTGTATCAAAAAGTCACATTGTCCAAAAACTTGAGAGGCAATAAAACTGTAGAATAAGAGAAATAAAAATACCTTACATTGTTTTTA